CCTTCATCATTGAAACATGAGCCCATCTCTCTATATGCAAAACATTGCAAGCATATCTGTTAAGTCCAATTACTCTAAAACCTTTACATTAAAAAAAAAGAACATTTGTTTCCTTCAGCAAATTTTACATACGGTTTCTTCATTAGTTTCATCTCTACGGTAATACCTAGTCATGTTCCTGTCTACAAGCTAAATAAGGTGTATGTTGTTTGCCTGTTACAGAGCTTGGGGAAATAGGTATATAAGGTAGTGTACACACACACACACACACACACACACGTGTATATTCATTCACATTTGACTTGGTGCTGCTGTGAATCAGGAACATGAACTTCTGCATGTGCCTCCGTATGTATTCAGGATAGCCTTTCTTTCCTCCACAGCCCTAACACAATTTTTAAATCCATTCTCAAACTATTTCTCTCAATTCTCCCAGTCCTCCTGTGACCAGTCATTAAAATTAGTAAAACCAGTTTCTTTATCCTAATGCTATTAGGATACATTATACGGTATATTATCCTAATGTTTTCTACATATGTTTAATCAAAAGGAATGTTTTCACAGAGCTGTAATTAAAATTTAATTTCATAGATGTTTTCTAAATTATTAGTTTTCAGTATAACTTCAGCATAAATAGTACATTGCACTGTCTTCTAGAATGAGACTGTGTAATCGATGATCTCTGCTATCAGTGACAATTAGGTCACTTCGTTTTCACTATTAAAATTACATGTGACAAATGTACCTCAGGCAATCTGTTTCTGTCTGTCTCTGTCTCTCTTTCTACCTCTCATACTAGAACTAAGTAAGTGCTCTACCACTGAGACATTTCCAGCCTTGTTTTTTGCGGATTACTTTTGATTCAGGGTCTCAGTTCCTGCCTATGAACAGCTGGACTACAGTCAAGACTATCTGAGGGTCCTGTCACTGCTGAGATGACCACACATGCTGGAGTTCAGCTTCCCTCTGTTGACAGAAGTGTGCAGGGAACAAAGTTCCCCCCAGTCTCAGCCTCCCATGTAATTTAAAATGACAGGCACAGACTACTGCACCTAGCTGTAGGTTGCAAAGTCTCATAAACTTTTTTGTTCTGAATGGCTTTGAACTTCCATTCTCCCATTCTAAGCTTCAAGTACCGAGTCTATCTTTGGATGAAATACCTAATTCCCAAGAGCATACTTACTCTACTATCCAAAATACTTTTACTTGTCTATTCTTTTTTAAATAGCACATAGAGATTATACATACCTATGAAGCCCCAATTGATATTTCAGTATTTGTATGTATTGCTTAATGTTAAATCAGGGATCTGGTGTATCTATTAGCTTAAACAATTATCATCTCCCTGTAGTAACAACAACGAATATCCTTTTGGGCAGGATAGACAAGGCTACAGAGAAATTAAAAATAATATTGAAAGGGTCAGACTCAGAATTCTAGCTACTTAGGAGGCTGAGACCTGGTAGAGTACAGTTTAAAGTTAGGTAGGACAGAAAATCAACACACCTCTATTACCAATTACTCAATGAAATTCCTGGAGGTTGGAGGCATGCCTCAATCAGTACAGCACCAGCCTCAACCAAGCATGAGGCACAGAGTTCACCCCTACTACCACCAAAAATAGAAATCTTTTTCCAGGTGCTGATGTTCCAGATCTATAATCTTGCTACTTGGGAAGCTGAGATCCAGAGGACAATTCAAAGCCACCCTGGGCAGAAAAGTCCATGAGACTTTATACCCAAACACTCAGCAAAAACCTGGGTTGAAGGCATGACCTAAGTGACAAAACACTAGCCAAGCTCCTCTACCCCCCTCAAAAAAATGTAAGAGCCACCACTTTAAGTCTTTATTTCCATATTTTGTGTGAGGAGCAGGTATATTTCTCGTTAGTCATTTATACTAAAATAAATCCTGGCTAAAATCTTCCCCTTATGAGTCTTGTCATGAGCTTCCTTATAATTCTTTTTTATGAATGGATTGCTAGTTTCTGTGATTTTGTGTGGAACTCTGGGTGTTGAGGAACCCTTAGACTTTTCCCTAGTAAGTTAAATCACAAACAGGGAATTTGCAGATGGTTGTTTTTGAGTCATGCTTTCATTACTAGTCCCCTTAAATCTTACCGGTACCAATTTCAAACATTACAAACAATCATAAACACTACTCACAATGTTATTGTGAGAATTTTATACTAGTTGCATTTTCAATCTAGACATCTGTCAGTCATTTATCCTTTTAAAACATATATTCAAAAGACAATTGCAAGCAAAATAATCACATTTTATTGAAATCTCCGAAGTTACAGTACTTTAAGACAACTTTTTTTCATATTCCTTTACAAAAAAAGGGACCTGACTCAAGTTCAATGACATTTTATAACAAAATCATTTTTGAAACTCTTAGACCAATAGCTTGTTCGTTTAGGACATCAACATGTTTTTTCCTATTACCAAGAAAATTCCAATGCAATTTCTTTGTTATTTTTTAAGACATCTTTCTACATCCAATATAAATGATAAATCAAGTTTATATTGTGTGTGTGAATGTACATATGTGCAAATAACTGGCAAATTATAATAGGAAACTACAAGGATCACAGTGATTTATTTCACTTATCGTGGGGCAATAAATACCATTCCATCCCATAATTAGGGATATTTTCTTATCTTGTAGGTCAAAACCATCAAAACCAATCAGACTCAACATGACACGTGACCTAATGAGTGCTAATACCACATAAATACTAACCATCACAGTCAACCATTTAGTGTTACCAAGTACTTTGCTATAACTGGGCTACTAGTTTCTCAAGTTTTCTTATGAAAGCTAGTTGAGCCAAAATCATCAAAATAACTCAATTTTTTCATCTAGGTTTAGTGGCACATACCTGTAATTCCAGCTAGTAGGGAGAATGAGACAAGGAGGATCATGACTTTGAGTCCAGCCCAGGCACAAATTAGAGAGACTCTATGTCAAAAACAAAAAACAGGCCAAGTGCAGTGGCTCCCAAATAAAATTCCAGCTACTTAAAAGGATCATGGTTTGAGACTGGACCAGTCAATAACATGAGACCCACCTCAACAAAAGGCATAGTGGTACACACATCTGTAATCCCAGCTGTCAGAGGTACAGGTAGACGAAATCTTGGTCTGAAGCCAGTCCCGTGAGGAGAAGGGTATGAGGCTTGAGATGGAGGGCACTGACCTAACACGTTCAAGGACCTAGGTTTGATCCCTAGCACCATTCAAAATAAAAGAACTTTAAAAAAATTAATTAAAAATGCTTAAAGCATGTGATAAAAAACCAACATTCTGTGGAAATGGTATGTTGTACATGTAACTATTGAATTGAAACCCTTTTCTATAACTATTTGAAGATAATTTAAAAATGACTTTTTAAAAAGCCAGGAGCTAGTGGCTCACACCTGTAATTCTAGCTACTCAGGAGGCTGAGATCTGAGGATTGTAGTTTAAAACCAGCCAAAGAAGAAAGCCCATGAGACTCATATTCAATAAACCACCAGAAAGCTGGAAGCAGAGTTTTGGCTCAAGTAGTAAAGTACTAGCCTTGTGCATAAAAGCTCAGAGACAGAGCTTAGGCCATAAGTTCAAATCCCAGGACCAGCACAAAATTTTGTTTAAAAAGCTATCACTCTGAATTATCAATGCCGTTATTTTAACCAAATTATTTTATTCCCTAACAGACTAATACTCATTGGCCATTGGTATGAAATAATTTGATTACTTTCATAACTCTATTCTGTTCCCTTTTAAGTGAGGAGAGGGAAGGCCAAGATCCAGGTGTCAGGGTGTTTGCTGCCATGCATACTCCTCAGGTGCTGTACTGACACTGATAGCAGAGAAACAACAGCTAAGGAAAGCAAGTTCTATGCTCCCCATAGCTAGGAACAGCACTGATACAGAAATTTCATAGTTGACAGTACTTTGAAAAGCAAATATTATGAAAATTCTAAGCAAGCACACACCTGTCAGAAAACTTACAACACAAATGCTATCACAAACTGCTTACGACAATGCTCTGTCCAAGACAGCATCAGAACTGGTTTTAACAAACTCACTGCAAAGAACTAAAACACAATGTGGCATTTGCTAGCATGGCATTTGTTTTCTTTTATAAGACCCAGTAAACTGCTCTCTGATGGAGAAAAATCCCTCATTTCTTTGTGAAGAAACCTGGCCACATGAGGAAAAGATCTGGTGTTTGACAAGTGGACAGTGAAACTGGGCTTCACACTGGGCACAGGCACCTTGGTGAGCACAGCCCTCCTCACTCCAACCACCTGTGTGAGCACAGCCCTCCTCACTCTAAGCAGCCAAGCACGTGGTTCTCAGCACTGAGACAAGACCACCACCATGGCAGCAAAGGTTACTGCAGTCACAACTTTCTGGATCAAAACAGAGAAGACAGAAAACCTGAGGGACACAATCACTCATTCTCCAGACCCAAAAGAAAAAGCAACACCTGCAGGAGCAAAAATACCTTCTGCAAACATTTTAGAAAATGGTATGATTCATTAAAACTAAACATCAGAGGAAAATAGCTGATAAATGTCATTTGTCCTAAAATAAGAGTATAGTTAGACTTTGCATCTAAATACTGTTTCTTGTGAATAATTAAAAGTATTTTCTTCCTTTCTGCATATCTACCTTTTCTTGTACTGCAGCATGGAATCACACAGTGAGTCTAAAACTAAATTCTGACACAGCACCAGGGATCACTTAGTGAGCTAAAGCTAGATGCTAATGCAGTACTTTACTGCCTACAAAAGCCTGGCTGATGACAACACTTAAGACTTGAGTGTGCTAAATTCAGATTGTACTTATTGCTAGAACAACTATTGAAGATACCACTGCACTTGCTTAATTCCATAAGGAAATAAATAACAGGTCAAAGTACAAAGATAATTTTAACACACAGACATGTGAAAGCAGCTGACAAAAAATTCACTCTATTAAATAATTTTTAATTAATTTCATATTATAAAATTTTAAAACTTTTAGTTTATTCTTAGATTCCAGACTATACTGTTAAGTTTAAAGATTAGCTTTTCCACATCTTTTAGTGTAACTACAGATGCAATGTAACAGATTTGATATAAAATATGGCAGTTAATACCTAATGTTGATGTTTTAAAAAATGTTTTGATTCTTATGAATCTGTACCAAAATAAAGCTTCTGATATATCTTCAGGCTCACACCTGATGATGAGTTAATAATGTAAGCAAAAAAAAGTTGAATAAGTTAACATTTACATACAAAAATAGAGGATATATACAGTGAACTTAATGGTATTTTCATGGTATTACACATTAGAGTATTACCAGGATGAATAAAAAGTCAAATTCTAAACTGTGAATTAAAAAATCTGTAGACAATCCTATTCTAATGTTTCAGACTTAGTAATTTTCATTTTCTCCATCCAATGAGATTTCTGTGCTGGTTAATAAATGCACTTGAAAGCCAAGGATGAATGTAGGATGGATGTAAGATGCTGGAGTGTCCCAGTTTTGATTAGAGAATGTTTTGCTGTTTCTATTTTTCTTCAGCATTCATTTCACAGTGCTCGTACCCTGCACATGCAGATCAATGAGACTCTGATAAGGAAAGTCCCAAGGCAGGAAGGAGCGCACAAATCCTCAGTTTTGTCACAGCATCTACTTTCTGCCATTATGGAAGATGGTCCCTACAACCCCCAAAAAGGGAAGGAGCACAGGGCAGCTGAGGCGGTGTGGTGGCTGGGCTGAATGCCAGAAGCTGTCCCGTGGAAAACATGGGGTCCACCACTACTCTCCTTTCTTTACATTGTGAGGTTATAATGTGTAATTAAATAGATTCCATATTAAAATTAAGCTAAGCATAATTTGTTCTTATTATTGGATACAATATGGAAAATGAAAAAATTGTAGCTTCAGAGTTTGAAAATAGGGTTCCTTGATATTGGGGTGAACGGTCCTAATCCAGCTGCTTGACCTTTCTGGGACTCCATTTCCTCCAGTGATAAATAAGGGATGTGTAGTGGAGAAACCTTAAAAGTCCTCTCAATCATGACCGAAACACCAAGCTAGGATCTTGCTCAGTGCTTCCTGATTAGAATCCAAACTGCATACTGCTTCAGTATAGCAGAAAAATAATTCTGGTTGTGGGCTTTCTGATACGGATAACATGGTTTGTTGCTGCAGGCCCAGTCCCACGCACTGTCATCATAGAGATGCATAACCCATTACCTCACACAACAAGTTCACTCTGCTGTTCACTGGATGGTCTGGACAAACACGTGCTATACATACACACGCGTATGTATATACACCTAAGCCCTTATTTAATCCCCTATTGTTAAACCCCTGCAGCTTTTCAACTGGGTGGTAAAAGAAAATTATGGGGAAGAAAGCCAAATCTTTCAGTGTTTCTTGTGGAATTAAGAATATTTTTATTCTTTGAATTTGTAGACTTTATAATTTTTTTTAGTTGCAAAGCTAATTTTAAGAATGCATAGCTATTGTATAAACCACAACTCTGTCACCATTTGCTACTCTTATGAAATAGGTGTTTGGTACTATTTAGAAATGCAGGGCAACGCATTTTACTGGTTCTTCGATTTTCAGAGTGGAGGTAAGAGTAGAAGACTCATTTCTTTGACTATACTACTTAAAACCTGGTGTAAAGCAAATTGAACTCAAATTAAGAGAGGGACTTTGTGAATTTCCAGCTATAATTGTGGGAGTAGGATAAATAATTTCCTCAACAGTTACATATGTACCTAATAAGAAGCCTACCACTCCAGTGAACGCTATGGACAAATTTTTTAGGACCATCCATATATTGTAATGCTCCTTTGAAAATGTGAGGATTTCAACAAGAGGCGGCAGGATGAGGGCCAGCGTGCTGCTGCTCACAGCCCCCACAAAGGAGATCACAATGTCCAAGCGAGGAATGAGAATGGCCCCTGCACCTAGAAAACAAAGAGGCAGGCATACTGAGTTTAAATGTCTGGCACTCACATGAAAATTAAATGTAATCTTTTCAAGAAGTAATTAATGGAAGCAGATAATAACCCTTGCTCCTAGGAAAATCTGACAGGTTTTGCTCTGAGCTAAACAAAGACAACAAAGAAACTTAAACAGGAATTTCACCTGTGAACGAAGTTTCTCAAGTGAATAGCCTGTCCTTTATTTGCACTAAGTTTGAATGATTTATTTCCAAAGCATTTGCATTACTCTGCCTGCTATATAGATCATCTCACAAGACACAAACAAGGTGGTTCAATATCAATACTAGGACAGAAGGCATGAATATTCACAGTAGAATCCCAATCAATCCATATTAAAAAGGGCACTGGTACATCAGGCCTCCTAACTACTTAAGAAGCTGAGATCTGGGGTTCATGGTTAGAAACCAGCCCATGCAGGAAAAGTCAGTGAGACTCATCTCCAGTTAACCATCACAAAGCCAAAAGTGAAACTGTGGCTCAAGTAGTAGAATGGAAAAAGCTAAGGGAGAGCTAAGGCCTTTAGGTCAAGCTCCAGTTCTGGCACACACACACACACGCACGCACGCACGCACGCACACACACACGCGGAAACTGAAAATCAAAGCTAAGGGAGAGCTAAGGCCTTTAGTTCAAGCTCCAGTTCTGGCTGACACACACACACACACACACACACAAACACACACACACACACACACACAGCCATGGAAACTGAAAATCATTATTAAGCAAAAATCCACTGTAATTAATGGGCAGAAAAAGTCATTGAGGAATGCTAAAATCAGTGGTAAAAAATTAGTTTAGCTGGGCATAGTGGCTCATAACTATAAGTATCCCAGACCAGGGAGACTAAAGTAGGAGAACTGCAACATCAGAAACAACCTGAGACCCTGTCTCAAAAAAAAAAAACAAAAAACAAGCCAGGTGCCAGTGGCTCATACTGATAATCCTAGCTACTCAGGAGGCTGAGAGCTAAGGATCACAGTTCAAAGCCAGCTCGGACAAGAAAGTCTGTGAGATTCTTTATCTCCAATAAACCACTAGAAAACCAGAAGTGGTGCTGTGGCTCAAGTGATAGAGTGCTAGCCTTGAGCTGAAGAGCTCAGGGACAGTTCCCAGACCCAGAGTTAAAGCCCCATGACTTAAAAAAAAAACCAAAAAACAAAAAACAAAAAAGCTGGGCGTGACATTCAGTGAAAGAATACCTGCCCAGCATGTTCAAGGCCTGACTCCACCCCAGCATCCACAAGAGGTAAGATCAGTACATCTTCAATCTAAACACATTTCCCCAAAAGATACTTTTAACTATGAAAGATAAAAACCACCCACAGACCCATTGCAACAATGAGATGTACAAGTCATTACTTTGAAAATGAACTTTACAACTTTGGTGGGGGTGGGGGGGTGGGGAGGATTGGGTTGCATCAACAAGACATGGTGGTGTATATTATCAGTCCTGTGGAATTCTTGTTAAAAATTCCTAACTTTAATTAAACCAGACATGCTGTGCATACACACCACTTGGAATAGTGAGATTCTATCTTTGAAAAAAATAGCTTTAATGATGAGAAGACATCAGACAAATTCAAACTGAAGGAAATTCTACCAAAACTACTGGCATTTCAAAAGTATCAAGGCCAAGAAAGAAAAGGAGCATCAAGATTAGAAGGCATGAGAACTAAATTCAAGTGCAACCTAGATTCCTTCTTAGATCAGAAAGGAATAGCAATGATAAAACTGAAAAGTTAGCATATGATCTAGAGATTACTTAGGGGCACCGTAATGTGTCAACTTCTGCTTTTGTAACTGGTCATGATTATACAACCTGAATAATCAGTAACCCCTCTGTACGACACCTTTAATGTATATGCCCCTATGCCATTATTGTGAGCAAGATTTCTTGCAAAGCATTATGTTTTGGTCTGTTGCTTTCATGCCTTTATCTTGATACTACCAAAAGTCTGTTCACAGAAGTATAAAACCAAGACTCATAGTCTTCTCCAATTTGTCCTTTAAATTACTGATGGAATGGCTTATTATTCATGGGTTGGAGCTGCCACTAAAAACAACAGCCAGGAAATGATAGGCAGAAGATGGTGAAGCAGCTACAGGGAAACACCCCAGTTGTCTCTGACTAAACATAGATGTAGGGTCTGAGCACACACTTCACCTCAAGAGGGCCACACCCATCAGACTAGAAACAAACAAGATACACACTCTAGCAAAGGATTTATACCGCAGGCATGCAATGACTGAAGTCAGCAAAGATATGCTGCAGCAAGGTAACCCCTCCTACACAGCTGTGCAGTGTGCTGAGTCCGGTCCAGCACAGATAGCAATGCTCCTGAAGAGCTACAGCTGGGACAAAAAAAGCAAGAAAAGGCTCACAAGATCGCCAAATGCAGATGTAGGAACATCTTACAAGGATGCTGATGGCCACCTCAACACAAACTCAGGGAACCCTAAGAACCCCATAAGGAACCCCTCCCTGGAGAGACTAGCTTCTGTGGTGACCCAGAGTAACTGGACTAGTTCCCCTGCCCAAAGAGGGCCCTGTTTGGAGAGGGCAAAGAAGTAAGCTCTTCCCCTCCACACCTTCTCCAGCTCCTGGGAAAAAGCCATGTTCCCTGTCTCCAGGGAATGGCAAATCCCAGAAATCCTAAAACCCAAAACCTCCAGCCTGTGGACAGCAGCGCCCCTAGCAGCTGCACTTACCTAGGAAGATACCTGGGAAAGCAACACCAGGTGTTGGACTGGCCCCCATACCAGGAAAGACTCCTAAAAATGGTTAAGTCCTCCAACTCTGCCTGTGTCACAGGGAAAATCTGCACAGTTGCAACAGCAGTCAGAGTCCACTTGCTCTAGTGAGGACTTCACTGGGGCTTAGAGGAGGCTGCTGATCACTGAGGGAAACACCACAACCCCAATCCTATAGAAACTGCATCAAGGGGCCGCTCATATTTCTGACATACTGAGTAAAAAGCACCTTTTTGTTTTTCTTTCTTCTCTCCTTCATTTTTTACAACTCAGTTGAATGTTCTGAGATTATTTATCTGATGGCTTGAGATATAGATTGATAGACAGATCGATACAGATATGTATGTGTGTGTTGTTTGTTATATATACACACACACAATATCCTATTCTCCATATTGCCTTTCTCTGTTCAAAAATAGAGGTATAATTAGAAGAGTGTCAGCAATAGACTTAGGCTTTTTAGAGTAGACAACATTAGGGCACAGGGTGTCTGACCCAATTTCTCTCTACTCTACTTCCTTCTTCAGTGTAGAATGCAAAGTTTTTCTCCCTTGCACTCACTCCCTGTCCTCTCTTCGTTCTTTTCTCTTTTAATTCTTCCATAAACTTATACCTCTCTCACTCATACACAAGTCTGGAAAATGACCCCTTTACACCCCCACCTTACCTTTACAACCTCAATACTTCCAACTGATAGACAAATTTTAACAGTGGAGCTCCAACCACAACTGAATTCTACATCTTCACTCCTATCCCTACAAGAAGCCGTGGGCCCAGATAACTAAATCTCAACAAAGGATCAGAACATGAGCTGCCTAGTCAACCAAGAACAGAGCGAACTGTTTTTTAGGAAGATCACAGATTCCCAAAAGATAAAACCAAAAAGGTCTTCAAAATGGTAGAACACATCACAGAAATACTAGGAATATCCAAAGTAGAACACATTACAGAAATACTAGGAATATCCAAATCCAATGAAATAAAGGTTTCACAGAAAACAACCAGACAACAAAGCAGACAAACAGGGACCTAAGGAGACACTTTACAAGATACACTAAAAACACTTCTGATAAATTTTTTTTTTTTTTTGGGTCCAGTCATGGGGCCTGAACTCTGGGCCTGGGTGCTGTCCTTCAGCTCTTCAGCTCAAGGCTAGCGCTCTACCACTTGAGCCACAGCGCCACTTCCGGCTTTTTTCTTTTTGCTTATGTGGTGCTGAGGAATCGAACCCAGGGCCTCGAGCATGCAAGGCAAGCGCTCTACCACTGAGCCACCATCCCAGCTCCACTTCTGATAAATTTAATTAATGAAAAGTTTGAATTACAAAAAGAATAAATTAAACTTACATGTATACACAGATACCTCACAGAAAGCCTAGTGAAAGACAAAGGCTAGAAATGGAACAAAGCAAAAGGAAATGGCTGTACAAATGTAGAGTGCAAACCTGGACTAGAGAGAAATTGACAGTTTATAGCAGACGAATAAAGGAGAGGCAGTGTTATGCAGTGGAGGCCTGTGAGGAATCATGGACTCAGAGTTGTGTGTATATAGTGTAAAAATATTCATATATAACAAAAAAAAAACAAAAAGCAGCCAATGTGCTCCAATACAAACTGTGTACCCTCGCCAACATGTAATTCAGCCTTAGTTTTTGGTCTACTGGTTTCTTGTTACTTTTCCGTTTTCCTTCCCCTGTGTGACTTCTCAGACTTTTCCAGGCCTATCTGAAATTATTTTGTACCTAAGTTCCACTGAATTTCTCACAGGAGCTGAAGTTATTATGTTGTATTCAAACTGTCATGAAAGCTAAAGCTATAACGAACTGTTTTGAAATTATAAATCTATCTTTGTACCTAGGACTGAAGCCAAATAACCCTTTACAAATATAATAACTGATTCTGAAGAAACTGATATTCAAAAGGAGAAGTGTTTATAAAGTAGTTGTCTGTTGAAAAGATGCTTGTTACAACATAACATTTTCTCTAGGGAATTTAAAGCCTAACTCTCAAACACAATTATGACCTTTCATATTTCATCACACACAGTCATTTTATGAGGCCAGATAAGCATAACCAGAACTTTGCCAACCAAAACCATTTTCCTTTTGCAATATCCAGTTTTCCTCATTGATATTTTTTAATAATCTGAGCTATCACTAATGAATCAAGGAAACTACTATTGTTGAATCCATGTAAGATGAATACAATGTAAAATTGGTATTTCTGTACTACATTTTTATATATCTAACACTTTTGTGCATATATTTATGTGTGCCAATACTAAGGCTAGAAATCAGGGCCTGAGCACTATACTTTAGCTTTGCTACTCAAGCCTGGTGCTCTACCGCTTGAACCCAGCCCCACTTCTAGCTTTTTGGTGATTCACTAAGGTAAGTGTCTCAGGAATTTTCTTGCCCAGACTGGCTTCAAAACATGAACCTTAAATCTCAGCTTCCTGATTATAGGCATTAGCCCCCAGCACCAAGCTCTACCAAATACTTTTATACCATGTATTAGTTTAATTTCAGTGACATAGGGCCATCTTTAAAAATAGAAGCGAAGGATACTGCTATTCCCCAAATGGCCTGAGGAGTTTGACTTGACAGTGTTACTAGTAGAAAAAGAAGAGTATATATATTTTAGGCTGATCCAGAATATAAATAGCTCACATGTACAAAAAAAGGAAGTCAAAGCTGGCAGTTTAAGTTTAGTCACTATAAATATTCACTACACAATTATTATAAAAAGGATATCATGTCATCTACAGAGATCTGGGTGCATAAAAGAGTTTTTAAAATGTTCAAAGAATGAAATTTCATGTTAAGAAATGCAATAGGAAATTTAGTATGATATAAATATATAGTGATACTTACAAGTAATACTAACCAAGAAGGATCTTATCCCAAATTCACAGATTTTCTTCCACTTAGTGTGAAATGTGGATGTGACTCCAGGGATAATAATCTCTGCTGGAACATAGAACTGAATTGAATACGTCACAAAAATGCCAAAGGAATATAGAATTTTCACTGACTGATACAACCTGTTGAAAAAAATCAGAAATTAGTCTTTCTTAGTCTACATTTTGTAGTCTACATCTCCTCTTGTTTATTTTTATAAATAAGAAATCGAGAACATAAACTTAGGATAGAATGTACTGGGTTAAAAAACATAAATGAAAACACTAACTGACCCTCCACTAATGAAATCTGTAGATGATATATAGACAGCTCACAAGCCTGGCACACAAATGTTTGTAACATATCGTTGGAAAGATTTTAATTAGGGCTAAGCCAGTGTTGTAAGATGATGACCAGCTCCACAAAGAACTAATGTTGCTTCAACTTTCTTTTTAAGGATGTAGCATATCTGTATGTCTTCGAAATCCTGAATCATAATCTCAGTGATCTGTGTGTAGAAAAAAAAACATATTGATTCTGAATTTTATTTCTCCTTGCTTGAAAACCTTATCGGGCGTGTCCTTAAGCTGCAGAAATATCATGCCATCTGATAAGGCTTCATCTTACAAAGTTCTCTAAATTATATATATTACCCTATACCAGTTGGAAATAGAAGGGTTAGGTTACTATCTCTTCGAAGGAAACTTAGCACTTTGTAGCTCAGTGTTTCGAATCAAATGAAACTAAAAAGGAAGGTCTTTGTTCCTACCATGGGATATACCAATACCAGGGGCCCTTAAAATACAGATACAAATACCATTAGCTATTTCCTGTCCTCTCCAGAATTTGTTAGACCAACACTACTCAATAGTTCCTGATCTCCCATACCTTTAATCTTCCTTTGAAACTAAAAGGTACCTTCATCTTACCATTAGAAGAGTTGAAGCAAAACGAAAACATTCTATGATGCAGTATTCACTCCCAAGCACAATTTAAGGCAATACTTAACAGCTCTGCTGCCAGCTTCCACAACTGCACATGCCCTTCCTCATCCTCTCTATGTCTCTTTCTTTTTTTTAATTTTTTTTTGGGGGGTCCAGTCGTGGGGCCTGAACTCTGGGTCCGGGTGCTGTCCCTCAGCTCTTCAGCTCAAGGTAGCAACTCTACCACTTGAGCCACAGCGCCACCTGCAGCTTTTTTTTTTTTCTGCTTATGTGGTGCTGAGGAATTGACCAGGGCCTCAAGCATGCAAGGCAAGCGCTCTACCACTGAGCCGCCTTCCCAGCCCTCTTTCAAATCAATCCTATACACTTTTCCCACCTAGAACCTCCATGCTGCTAAGAAATCTAAAAGTTAAAGTAATACCCAGTAATATGTCAGAACCTGATGTTGTATGAAAACACACTATCTACGTACAACTCAATGGAACAAGTCTTCAAATCAATCTTTATGAAAAGGAACATGTTTCAGCCTGTGTTACTGAGCCCATCACAAATTTATTTGCACAGATATCTGAGAGCCAGTATTGAAGCAGGCTGTTTCCTCCTCATGCTTATTCTCCTTGTACTCAAACTGTGTTTTCTCTGAGTGTGTGTGTGTGTGTGTGTGTGTGTGTGTGTGTGTGTGTGTGTGTGTGTGTGTGTGTGTGTGTGTGTGTGTGTGTGTGTGTGTGTGTGTGTGTGTGTGTATGTCCCTCCAGTGTATGGTAGTGTGCTAGGGGTTCTAAAAACTGTAGTCTAAGTGTGGTAGATCTTTGTGAAGTTCAAATTATTCAAAGTTCTTTATTTTGGGTGGAAAATATGTTTATAAAAACAATGCAGCTATTATGAAGTAGAATGCAGAAGATGAATTTGTAAATACAGAACACAAACTGATGCTATGCTGAAAGCAGGTCATCTGGGGTTCTGCCCCCAAGGGATTGTTCTCTTCCCTCTATAATTGAGTTATTGCTATGGTTTGTGTGACCATCTCCCAGTGGTCGGTGTAAGAGCCTACTGCCCAGCTTGGGGTTTGGGGAATTTGTGGAATCTTTAAGAGGGAAGCCTAGGGGAGGTCTTGAGGTTACAGGGAGGAATGAAGGGTATGTGGAAGTTCTACTTTTAGGGGACACACAGTGTGCTTAAGTGCTTAGTGACTAGTAATTTAACAGTCCTACAGTGCAGGGGAACTCAATCCCCTTCTGATCAGGTTTTCCACTTCCCCATGGAGGTGAGGGTCAAGCTTTTCTCTGTCATGTGCTTCTGCCATGATGAGCTGCCCTAACCACAAGTTCAAGGCAACAGACAACTATTCATGGTCTGAAACCTATAGTGATCCAAGCCACAATCAACTTTTTTTACTTTATAAGTTTGTTGACTCAGACACTTGTTACAATAACAGAAAGCTAACCATTACTTTTTTTGGGAAAACAGTACTGTTATAGCATTACTTGACTAGGACCAGAAGTGGTCATGTGAGAACTGCATTAAGCCTCCCAGGCATTAGGCATTGTCCAGGTTATAGGGAGGGAGCAGACCCTCTGCACTTGAACTGCTAATGCTCTAAGCTCAGAATTTCACATTTACTTCATTATCACCTTCAAATTATACTCTTACTTTAAAAGCAAAATTCATTGAGCACTATTACTCATAAATAGTTATTTAAAAAGATGCCTCAGAAGTCAGGTGCTGTAATCCTTAGCCACTCAGGAGGCTAAGATCTAAGGATCACAAATCAAAGCCAGCCTGGGCAGAAAAGTCCATGAAACTCACATCTCCAATCAGCCAGCAAAAAGTCAGAAGTGGAACTGTGGCTCAAGTGACAGAGCACCAGCCTTGAGCAAAAGCAGCTCAGGGACCATGCCCAAGCCCTGAGGTCAAGCCCCAGGACCAACACACACAAAAAATGATGCTTCTCTAATCTATACTTTTCTTGAAGCAATAACCCTTATAATGCCAAAAGTATAAATCAACTTGGCATCAAAAGGTCTTACAGCTTCAGAACTGGTAGACACAACTACTTGCCCAGGATTCCTTTATGACAATTGTTGTCTTTCAAGCTCAGCTGAAAAGTAACACACCCTTCACTTTCCAAAGCCTCCTGAGTTAAACACCAGAAGCCTATTCAGAAGAACAATATACATACAATCCCAGGATTACTCTATTCCAAAAGTCACTTTACAGAGACTATCAACTCTATTCCCATATAGTCATCACTATTGTTTTATTTTTTTTTAATTTAATTTTATTTTATTTGAGAACATACTGTACAGAGGGGTTACAATTACATGGGCAGGATAATGCGTACATTTCTTACCAAGCATTGCAGCCTCCTCCTTTGTTTACCCTTCACCTCCCTTCCTAGCCTCCCCCTCCACCCAATCATACCCTCCCTCCCCCCCCCCCACCGACATTGTAAAGCTGGTTTTGACATGACATTTTGTACTTCTCATTGTTGCAACAGGTATCACTATTGTTTTAGGTGCTTAGTTATGACCATAGGAATTTAACAGTCCTACAGCTACAGAGGCCAAAAAAAATAAGATTATCAGCCACACAAATCCTATCTCCACAGTGGCAAGGAATTAACCAATATAAATTTCTTAAAAGGAACTATTTCTCTTAACTTGCTTTCTTATTTTCTCAGATTCTTGTTGCTTCTTGGGATACATTTTGCAGGCTTTCACTTCTAGTGAAAATCACTTAGGAGAGATAATTTCTGATTCCCATCAGGAAGTCAGTCAGAAAGTGTCATTCCTACTGTTGCTGGTTCTCACTGCCCTGTGAGACATTCACAGAATCTATCCACATAGCTAAAGTAGCTGAAGTAGAATGGCATTAATTAAATCAGCAATTTAGCACTTAATCTTTGCATTTATCAAAACTAAGGTACTACATTCCATTTTAAAGGTGAGTATTCACTAACAATACCTTTTTGAAATTTCCAAAGACTAACTCCTGAAGAAAGAACCTTACATATTGTTTCATTTAGGTTAACATGGCTTCCATATTAAACAAAGTACTAAGACACAACACTACATTATCTATGAGTCCCAACTAGACTACGAAAGGATTAGAGGTACACAGTCTAAAGTTGACCAGAAAACAAAGAGAGCCATAAAATGATGGGACGTCTCATCAGAAACCCAGCATGCTTGCCTTTTTGAGAGCAAATACAGGTATTCGTTTTTTTGAAAAGATTAATGTGTGTTATTACTAAAATAATGCGTATTTTGCTTTTAGGGTTGATTGAAATTTGGTACAACTTATTTGTAAGATCCTTTCTTAAAACATCTCACAAAGATTCATGAATTCATAGATGGTTTTTCCTTGAGAATTATAAAAAAAATCTAGTTACTTCAATAAATCACAGTGAGATTCCACAAGTTTAAATAAAAAAATTCAAGTATGAAATTCAAATATTGGTAAATTACATTCACAAAATATATGAACTAGAATTTAGAAGCTCATCTCCACGTACCACACATCCTGGGGAAGATTTAAAGTTATGCTGCCTTTGATTTCATCACGAAAACACATATATCCCAAAGTAGCCAGTGTAACATACAAAGCTGTGACAATAGCCATGCCAATATTCAATGCCTGGGGAAAACGTTTGGATTCTTTCATCTGGTTTTCCAGAGGAAGGACCTAAAATAAAACAGGAACAGGATGCAAGTATTTCAGAATAAGAATGATACAGTGTCTCTTATGTAGACAAATCGGTCTAGTCTAGATGTAAAATCCTTCTTTTAAAACAATACATGTATTAATTAAAATATTGTCTATGTGCTATTTTTCTATAGTACACATTGTTAAATTCTTAAGATCTGAAAATCTGCTCCTAGCAGGCAAACTTGCCGGGTTTTTTTCTAGATTTAAATTTTTTTCATTGTTACACCCTGTTTTTTAAATAACTTTTTTATTTTAGAATAATTTTCTATTTACATAACAGTTAGAAAGGTAACAGAGAGCTCTCATATACCCCGACACAACTTTGCCTGCTTTTAATATTTGTTATCATGTTACATTTGTTACAACTATGAACCAACATTGGTACATGACTAACTAAACTTAAAACTTCATTTGGGGAAGGGATGATAGGGGAAAAACAAAGGAGGAAGCAACAATGCTTGAGAGGAAATGTACTCATTACCTTGCTCAAGTAACAGTAACAGCTCTGTACAGTATTTTTACAATAAAAAAAAGTACAAAAAACCTTCATTTGGATTGCATTAGTTGTTCCACTAATGTTCCTTTATCTGTTCAGTGTCCCATTCAGAATACCACACTGCACTTGATTCCTCTATTTGGTGGTTCTTTCTCAATCTTCCCTTGTTGCTCATTATCCTGATATTTGTTTGAGCAATATTATTAGTAAGCTGTTTTACATATTGTCCTTCTAACTTTGGTCTATCAAATGCTCTCCTGTGAATAGACTGGGATGGTAGGTTTTGGGGAAGGGAATACCTCACAGGGGATGCCCTTCTTATCCAACATGCAATCTTCATTGTTTACCACTGGCAAGTTCACCGTGATCACTCAGCTATGGTAGTTTCAGGGAGAACTAGGAAATGCATTTGTGTCTATTAACCCACACACGCATCTCCAACTGCTCCCATATCTACCCAGCAGTAACTACTATCTGTCAATATGAATAAGACCAATAAATAACTTTGTGTAAAAAATAAAACTTTTAAAGTAGTAAGCAAAGACTAATTGCTTACTACTATCAAAATAAAAAAAATTAATCCTCAGTGGGTTTGGACATATAATCTTACATAATAAAAGACATTGTGTAATATAAATATCATTTATTTAATAATGTTTTGAAATATGGTATTATTCTAAAGCATAGGGATACCCTCTCACACAGCCCACTTGAGCCCCTTGCTCAAGAGCAACCAGGTTCCACACAGAATCACTAGTTTCTAGTGAAGAACAGCAGAGTACAGGATGTCAATCTGGAGCAGAATGGTGCCAATACAGCCAGCAAAAGAGAAGTGAGCACAGCCTCTTGCTGTGCTGCAGCACTGTAGGTGTTGTATATATGTAATCTTCTACACGGAATAGACTCCAAGAAACATGAATAACTGGCTGACATAGGGAACTAAAACAGACTAAAAAGAATCTACTCCAATGTTTCATGCTTAAGCAATGAAAAGTAAAGGTGAAAGAACAGGGGAAATGAGAACATGAAAATGGTTTGGATGAGAATGTATGCGCTGAACTTTGGAGTTGCTGAATTTGAGATGTCAGGGAAACAACACTTAGCTGGAAATGCCAAATAATTGATGAGATACTAGAACTTACTGAAGACAGAAACTAAAGTCAGCAGTTTTGTCTATAATAGTAACAACTGGAGCTGAAAATTCTCTAAAGAACTCAGAGAAGAAATCTCCAAGTAAAATAGTATAAAAACATTTCTTTGATCTGTCTGCAGTTCATATGGACAGATGCTGACAGTGTCAAATCATCCAACTCTGGAATAGATTAAACATCAATATTCATCTACTAATTCTAAGCTCTAAATAAACTGTGCACACCTTGAATGTAAATACTTAAGATCCCAGGAAACTCAGGAGGCTTGTCTCTCTTGGCATTAGCCTTTTGATAACTTGTGTTCTTCAAAATAAACATGATATGCATTTATCTAAGGGAAAATCTGTATTTGACTTTTATATAACAGTAACTATTTAAATTCTCTAAAATAATCCAGACTACAATATACTGCATTTGAAATGTAGTTGAATATGTGGGATATAGACAGTACAGAATTGGCTGAGTTGATTTTTTGAAACTGTATAATACTTACATACGAGTTCATTACAGTATTCAAAATTATGAATAGGTTTGAAAATTGCCATAACAAAATGATTAAAATCACCTAGTCTAACATTATTATTTACACATGAAGAAAAACAATTAGAGGAGATATCTGAGTAAGCTAACTAGTTTGAGGAAGAACTACCAAGTCCATCGGGAAATCATGTTATAGAAATAAAGCCAACTAAAACAAAATGGAAAGCATGTACTTTATATCATTTGTCTATATAGTCCTGATGTTGACCTAGGAGATTAATAAGAAATGCCAATTCTTACCACTCCTATGCCTTCAAAAGCAAATACAGCAGTACCAAAAAACAGTGGGTATTTTTTCCAACCAGCCACTATTGGAAGATTGTGGGGATCTGGCATGTTCTGCAGAAAGGAAGAAAATTTACACTATGACTTATTTTAAACCACTTAAAATGAAAGAGCAAAACCATACTGTCCTGAGCTTCACAGCAATAAGTATGGATTATGCAAGTGAGTGTGTCTTTGGATAAACATGCCAAGCACCCTGTGCTCGACATGACTGGGCTGCAAGGGTTTCACGGCCACAGCAGCTGCTGCCCTCATGCCCCAACACTCCCTCAGAGAAAATGCTGAGTATCTGTTCCCAGCTGCCAGCCCCAGGCTGCATGCCCCAGGTATGGCTCCTGTTACAACAGGAAAGGTACAGACATGCTTGGGTCTGAGCCAAGAGCCACACTGTCAGTTACTGCCCACCATAGTTGTCTGCATCCTCCTGTCACTGCTCTTCCAGTTCTCAAAGATACCTCTTTCCTAAAGGGCTTTCTCCCTTAGCTCTGCTGCTCAGAAGATCCAAGGGATCTTCTGGATTCAGTGCTTAGTTTTCAACCACCTTTATCTACATGTAAATAGACTCTGATTGATTACTTATCCCTGGCCCACAGCCTTAGTTCCAGCTTGCACAATCTGCATCTGCACACACTCACAAACAGCACATCTTCAAGACTCTGGCTCCCCAAGGCTGCTTCTTTCAGACATTCCAGGTCTGGTCCCTAGTGCCCCATGTTCCTGTATTCTCAGCCTAACTAGGTGTAGAATTCAAAGCTAAGGAAAGCTTATATACAAAGCAGCTCAAGTATAAAAGCACAAAGGCAATATGGGGAATGGAAAGGCATGGAGTACCTTGTGTGTGTTATGCATTGTGAAGGTAAAATATGACTAAACCACCCTAGGCTGATGATGAAAGGTCCCTAAAGGTATAGAACACTGGGTATTACTAAACTAAGACTAAAGACAAGCAGGATGCTATTTCTGGGCTCCTCTGCTCTCTCATCCAGGGAGTGGCCTTTCCTGATCCACTAAATCCTACATATTCAGCTAAGGGGTCATGAACCCCAGACTAAGTGAGTCTCTCTTTCCTCTTAGGTGCTGTGAGAGAGAATGAGGGAATTCAAAGGGGAAAAATAAAACCTGGCCTACCAAAAGTTTGCAATGAATTGTTAATGGAGACTTGACCAACATTACCTTGAAAGCAGTATCTTAAGTAGCACTGGATAAGGAATCAAACAAAGGTTCTCAATGTTTTTAGGCTCACTGGCCCCTTTGGAAAATGAAAGTCACACAGAAAAAATGCACAAACACATACAGAAACAATCTTACAAATATGCTTTTAAAAAAACTGAAATTTTCAGAATTCCCCAGAGATTATTTTAAGGAAGTTACGTAAAAAACTCCAGACTGGGGACAATAAAATCAGTTAGGGTGCTGCACACACTGAGATAACGCAGTTACTTGCCTGCAGAGAGGCAGTGGACTAAAGCTGGGGGAGCAAATCAAAGTTTACAAGTAACAGAAAATCACACACACACACACACACACACACACACACACACACACACACACACACACACACACACACACACACACACACACACTCAATACACCTTGTGACTGATCCTTATATCTGGTGGAGTATAAAACCAGACCCGACTACAAACCCTGTGCTTACTCATACACATTTCTAGTTAATAATAACCCTCAAAAGAAAATCAAGTCACTGCTCAGTCACTGTGATCCATCAAAGCACCAGTTTTTGCACATCAGCACTGTTACCTTCAAAGTAAACTAGCTTTATTCATACATGACATTTAGTTAAAAATATACTTACCCTAACAACATATTGATAGATTATCACAAGACTGACAGCCATAGAAATGTTGGCAAGGAATGAGAGCACAAATAGATTCTTTAGCTCTCGAATGAAGACCAAAAGAATTATAAATGGAAGAAAGCAAAGCATATATATCCTTAGGTCGACAGTTTTTCTCTCACAGGCACTGGATGAATTGGTACTATTCAAAACAAATGCTTTACTCTCCAGGAATCCTTCATGAACCTGTACAAGATTAGAAGGGGATATGAATGGAGGAAATCTATGCACCACACAAAAGAGACAGAGAATCATAATCTATATACTATATGATAAGTTCCTATGACATGTTTTACAAGAACATAATTAGATTTTTTCAAAATACTCAGGTTTCCTAGAAATATATCAAGTATATAGGATAACCAAGGTAAATAACTGTCTTATACAGTTCACTAGGAAATTATGAGGATTAATTCATTAATTTATTTTGAAGCTTTCTAGCTATTATGCTCCTAATTCCAGCAAAGATACAAAAGACCTACACCAAAGCTGGGAGCTCCCCATTGATCTAGCTTGCCTTCTTCAGTGTAGGACCCAGGTGCTAACTTCCTCTCAGAAGTGTACAGCAGCCATGCAAAATCATAGCCAACTTCAAAATTTGTAAAAAACTGTCTATAAATCATCATTACTAGTTACTACTGTCAAGCACGTGGAAGTGCATATGTTCCACAGCAGTTAACTTCTGCTAGAGCAAAAGCTACAAGATAATTAACTTCTTACCCACTTCTTTAACCCAATTTTCAGATTTCAAAATAAATACTATTGTAATTACATAATTTAATCATATAATACCACTTACTAAAATAGAATTTAGATTATAGGAGACTTTAGAGAAAAATCTTAAAACTAAGGCCAGGGAGGGAAAGCATACTACAATTTAAAATGCCAATTTTCCCCAAACACTGTACCCTCCTTTGAACATTATCATGTATCTAGATACATACATTCCTGTCAAAATAAATGCGAATAGTAAGAGCTGATAATTTTTAGTATTGTCTATGTATCAGGTACTCAACTATATGCTTTATATATCTCATTTAATCCTCCAAATGGCTCTGAGAAATAGATTTAGTATTAATTTCAATTTAAACTTCAGAAAGCTGAGGCTTAGAGATGTAAAATGCCCATAATATCAGTGATTGGTGGTTCTAGGTTCAGAACAGCTACATGATAACCAACACTACACCCCAGAGAAGTGCTCTGACCAAGCACTCATCTGGCCTCCACTGTGACACTCTCTCAATGTAGTATTAAGAGGCCAACAAAGTAAAAGTTCAACAAGACTGAGGTGTTACATTTAATCATCCATTTTAAGCAGTGGTTAAGGTGACTATGAATGTACACTGGGATGGTGGGGATATAACTCAGATATAGGGACAGTATCTACCACATTATTCAGCTAAGGAGTCAATTTGAAACTCTAGCAGACCAAGAAGTTACACCAGGTCTCATTTAGAAAATGCAGCTCAGCACTGTCTTGTAATCGGCCATAAAAATGTTATACTTTCTTCTTTTGTGTGTGTGCCAGTACCAGAGGTTGAACTTAGGCCCTCATACAACTTGCTCATGGCTGGCATTTGACCACTTGAGCCACACCTCCAGTAAACTGGAGTTAATGCTAGTTAACTGCAAATGGAATCTTGACTTTTTCTGCCCAGAATGGATTAAAATCGTGATCCTCTGAACTCATCCTCCTGAGTAGCTAGTATTATAGGCCATGGCCACCTGGATTATGTTTTATTTTCTACAGTGAAAATGGAAACAAAATTGTCAATTCATATTACTTGGCTTTTAACAAAACATACTATTGTGGACTCAATTTTCTCTAGTAACTAAGTTACTTAAAGCCAAGTATTACTTATCAAAGTAGTACCTCTGGTGAAAGTGAAGTTCTAACAAGTTTTGGCAAAAGAAGGGAGTTAGATAAACAATTTTACAGAGATATTTGAGTTACTACATACTTAGGAATTTTAAACTAATTCTTTCACAGACAGCTAATGCTTTAGCATTCTCTGGTAGAATAGTAGTAATAAAAATTCTTGATTAAAAAATACAATAAAACAAAAACATAGATACATACCTAGAGCAAGAATCAGGTAAACATTTGAGTCCTTTGGTGCCCTCTAGAGACAGAGATGGCTCTCTAATAGGACTTCCTATGGTCTCACATGTTTACCAAAATGTAAAACACTGGAATAAATATTATAAAATAAAATTACTAAATTCAGTTGTTTCCATTTAGACTTCAAATTTAGTAAAATGCACTACATATTGACTTTTCAATGTCTTAGTAATTTAATGGTTAAAATTCTAAAAGCAGATTGTTATTTGGTAAAGCTAAATAAAAGTTGTGCTCCCTTACATTTGAATACTGTGCTATATTTTACAAAGGCTTTTTCACAAAACTTTTATCTGCTGAATCTCACAACAAGGTTATGAGAAACAGAGGGAGATTTTGTTATCATTTCTGTTTTACCAACAATGAGACTGCTGGACCCAACTAAGGGCCTTAACCAAGGGTGTGAGTCAAATCTGAGAGCAGGAATTTTCCTTCTTACTCTTACTATAACATTCCTTCCCCAACCTCCTGGCTCAGATACACTATCTTACATATGTGAAAATTCCCAGAGCATCTTTTAATCTTTTTTTCTTTTATTTTGCCAGTACCAAAGTCTGAGTTCAAGGTTTCAAGCTTGCACAATTCTCTTGAACCACTTGAACCAGGCCTCACCACCAGCTTTTTTTCTGATCAAATATTCTGGACACAGAAGTTCATGAATGTTTCTGTGAGGGCTGGCTTTAAAACTCAGTCCTCAAGATCTCAGCCTATTGAGTAGCTAATTAGGCATGACCCACTAGTGCCTATCCAGGGTATCTTAAAAGTAAGACACAGGAGCTACTCTAGGACCAGGATGGACTGGAATCATCAGGAGCATGTCACAGCTACCAAGCACTCCTGACAACAACTAAACCCGCAATTCACTAAATTAATGAAATACTGTACCTTCAACTTCATGTAGATTAAGGCACAAACAATCCCATAATTTTAATTCTAGCAGTAGTAATTGGTAAAGTTTACTTAAGCAGTGGATGTTGCTGTGTGCTGCTGTGAAAAGACACCTCTGCTGAAAGCCAAGGTCTCTGGGCCCTGGCTGCCACAGACAGCGACAGCCAAAGACTCCAGCCCCAGCTGCTGCCCTGACCGTGACTGCACTGCCTGGACCACGTGCTAACTTCAAGTTCAATGTTTTTTTTTTCTAAAGTCTCACTGCATGCCTTTTTCCATGATGCTTTGAGGCTTCCAAAAAACAGGCAATCTCCTCACTTTCCAGAGCCAGTTTTACTTTTTTTTTTTTTCTTCTGCAGTACTACAGTTTGAACTCAGATCCCTACACTTGCTAGAAAAGTGCTCTACCACTTACATCACTTGTGCTGTTGGTGAAGATGGAATTGTTTTTGTTTGGGTGTTTTTGTTTTTTTGTTTCTTGATTTTTGTCTGTGTCCACATTTATGTCTTTTAGGGGTGTAAGGAGGGAAGGAAGGGCACAGAAATGGAGGGACAAAAGGTGAACAAATGTAACACTGGTTCTCAGTAGACACTATGTTGAAAATGAACTATACAACTTGTCTATACACCTTGTGGGTGAGATGGGGAAAGAAACTGCAAGACACCAAAGGAAGGGGTGACACTGACTTATGAGACAGTAACCCCTCTGTACATCACCTTAATAATAACAGTTAAATTTTTTAAGTGCTCTACACCAGCCCTTTTCATTTTAGTTTTTGTAGAGGGTCTCTTTTTGCCAGATTCCACTCAAACCATCCTCTTCCTCCATCTGTCTCCTGCATACTTGTGACATCCACCACCATACCAAGCTTGTTCCTTGAAGACAGTCTCATTAATGTTTTTGCCTGAGCTGGCCTCAAACTTCAGTCCTCCTCAAGGACAACAGCAAACCAGTTTGGACAGCTTTCCCCCTCCCCCACCACCTAGGGCTTGACCATGGCTAACACCCAGGGGAGGGTCTTAGATCTCATCTAACCCAGGCCAGCCCTCCTACAAACCACCATGCAGGGGAGGGCCTGGGGCCTGATGTGTCTCAGACCAAACACACCTTTCTTGGGCAACCCTCCAGAAGAGGGTCTGGCCTGTTTCAAACAAACCACTCATGAGCCCAGGGCAGCTGGCCATCCTACGGCTACTGCCCTGGAGGTCTGGCTTGCTTCAAACATACTAGTCATAATCTGATAGAGTGCCTGAGGGGAGGAGAGAAAAAGAAGGGGACAAGAGGCAACAGGACTATGCAGTGGGACAGCAGGTATCGGGATCCAGCTGCTCATCCCTCTGAGGATGCCTCTGCTTGCTCTTTATTGAATGAATCCTTTAAACTGTGCTCATCACTCCTGGTATTATTTCGATACTACTGCAGAACAAGAGCCTACCATACTTATTCTCCTGCTTCACTCCCATCTCCATTTTTCCTGTAGCTTGGATTACCGGGACAGGCTATTACACCTGACAGGCTACTACAATTTTTCTTACTCATCTTCTGGGATGTTTACTATTTTATATAAGGTCATTTAAAACTTTTCTCCAGTTTTTCTCTACACACACACACACACACACACACACACACACACACACACACACACACACACACACACACACACACACACACACACACACACACACACACACACACACACACACACACACACACACACACACACACACACACACACACACACACACACACACACACACACACACACACACACACACACACACACCCTAAAATCAGATATATCCCTTTCAATGATAATTAAAGTGGTGGGTGGAAAGCCACTTGTAGTGGAGCACAACTATAAACCAAGCAGGAGAAAGACCATGATTTGGAGGCCAAAGCAAGTCACTATTTAAAAATTAGGTAAGTAAATAAATGCATAACAGGCAGCAACTATGTTAGAGACCCAGACTTCAGCCTAGTTCCACATGCCTCTGGGACACATGGTTCATGTTTTATAAGGTGCTCACAAAATGAGCAGTGTACTTACGCTATAGATTACAAATACTAAATGCTATTCATCACAGCTTGTAAGCATAAAATTATAGGGCATTATTAGTATTATTTGTAGATTCAAAGACAGCTAGTCATAACTGTATTAGAAGATATTAGAAAAAGTAGACTTCTACCATCTTGCACAATCCTAGCATTTACTATTTCTACTGTACAAATAACTACCAATATGGTATGTCTTGCTGAACACCACTGGCTCACTCCTGGGATCTGGAAGATCAAGGTTCTAGGTCAGCCTAGGCAGAAAATCTCAGAGGATTCCATCTCCAAATAATCAGAAAAATGTTGAGTTGGAGAGGTGTCTCAAGAAGCATCAGCCCAGCAAGAAAGCTGAGTGGGAGTGTGAGGCCCTGGTACCAGCAAAAAACATAAATTCAAATCAAAAGTAGTATATCCTATCATTTGTAGACCATCAACTGTCACAGAATGGATTAGCATTTTTAGGATTATGCAACTTGTGGAATTAAATACTTGTAAAATCCAAAGCACACCATTTGTAAAAAAGTGATGCTAAGGAGAGCACTGAAACTGATGGTAGAACTGTGACTGCTAACTGCTGCTTTCTACAGCTCTCTATTTGCTCTCACCAGTCCTTGACATTTCTGCAGTTACAATATTTCCAACAACACCTAAATGAAAAGAAACAGACTAGTTGAGATTAGATTTTTTCTTCCAGAAAGTTTGTTTTGTAAATTGTCCTTTTCCTCAGAGGACTTGCAGTCTGAAAATTAACTTATAATGTAACTTTAATACAGTGTGATCGCAGTTATTTTTTTAAAGCCAGAAAATAAAAAGAAATACATACTAGGAAGTCATAAAGGAAAGGATGGCATGGAAAAGCAACTGAGGAAGGTTTCACAGCACACATTTGCAACATTTCCAGACACAAATAAAACTTACAAATGTTGTGATACTATAGACTGAAGAAACACCACTATGGATATCAAAGCTATAATTACTGTAATTATTAGCTACAGCCCTCGAGGAAAATCCTCTAACTGCTGTAAGCTCCATGAGCTTCCAATATTAAACATCTAAGCTTGGCTCAAATATATAGGGATAGTCAAAATCCAGGGTTAGCCCTTAAATATGTATTTTAATGTTTTTGTTTCTTTCATGCATGTGTTTCTAACGCATTTATAAGATTATTTCTCTGTTGCTTTGTATGTCCCTCCCCCACAGTGTCCCCGCTGTCACTATATTTGATGTCAGTATAACATGTGGAGGAGATGGGGACAAACAAGTCGTTTAAGGATTTAGGTGGACCTGTTGCAACAATGAGAAGTACAAAATGTCATGTCAAAACCAGCTTTACAATGTGGGTGTGTGGGGGGGGAGGGGGGGTATGATTGGGTGGGGGGGAGGAGGGAGGCTGGGAAGGGAGGTGAAGGGTAAACAAAGGAGGAGGCTGCAATGCTTGGTAAGAAATGTATGCATTATCCTGCCCATGTAATTGTAACCTCTCTGTACAGTATGTTCTCAAATAAAATAAAATTAAATTAAAAAAAAAAAATCCAGGGTTAGCAAACTAACGTGTCAGATCACATCTGGGTACTACGTGTTTTTGCAGATGAAAGTTCACTGGAGCCAGGCACTGGTGGCTTATGACTGTAATCCTAGCTACTCAAGAGGCTGAGATCCAAGGATCATGGTTTGAAGCCAGTCCAGGGAAGGAAAGTCCATGAGACTCTTATCTCCAATTACCCACCAAAAAACCGGAAGTGGTGCTGTGGCTATAGTATAGCACTAGCCTTGAGCTGAAGAACTGAGGGATAGCGCTCAGGCCCAGAGTTCAACCACAACCAACCAAAAATGTTCACTGGAATGCATTACATTTACTTGTTTACATTTCACTGTCTATGGCTGACCACAGAGCGTGCAAAGAGAAAATACTATAGCATAAAATTTGCTAATTCCTCATTTTAATAGAATATGAAGCAAACTTTGTATTTAGAAAAGAGACAGATAAATATTGGTGTATGTAAGGTCTGTTCCTAGAAGGTGCACAGACTCCACACTGCTTGCAGCAAAGTCTCCGCCCAGTACTGAGTTACTTAGGCAACTGGCACACCTGGAAAAGGTCACATCTGGATTCCATGTGGCCACATCTTTCCCTGCCCCTGCCCTAGATAAGGCCTAGCCCAGGGCCAGACGCCCTCTTTCCCAGGTCTTTCCCAGCCGCACGGAATGCTAACATGGCCTGGTGCCAGCCGAAACAATGAATAAACCTATCCCTTACCTGAATACCACGTGCGTGGTGTGGTTCTTACTCAGCTACCTTTCTTTAAAAACCTAACAGTGTATACTTAAAAAGTTCTTCAGAAAGGATATTTGTGTAATCATTTTGCATTAAATATCTACAATTCTACAGATTACAATGTATAATGCTTATTTCAGCAGATATATTTGGATAATTAATGTTACTGACTGGAATGATGATGAAAGAAAATCAGGAGGTAAATAATAATAATACCAATCACAAGAAATGTGTTTGGTACTGTTCAGGTATTTTATTTTGGTGCTTTGTATGTTTGTCCAAATAGACTATCTCTATAACGTATCTGGAAATCACTTCACAAACCGAACTTCCCTAACATGGGAAAAATACACATTTTTAGATACATTACTTTTAAAACAATGGCGGTAATTACCGCAGTTCTGTAATGAATGCTCATATTTTTTTTTTTTTTTTTGGTCCGGTCGTGGGTCCTGAACTCTGGGCCTGGGCACTATCCCTCAGCTCTTCAGCTCAAGGCTAGTGCTCTACCACTTGAGCCACAGCGCCACTTCCGGCTTTTTTCTTTTTGCTTATGTGGTGTTGAGGAATCGAACCCAGGGCCTTGAGCATGCAAGGCAAGCGCTCTACCACTGAGCCACCTTCCCAGCCCGAATGCTCATATTTTTAACCTCTCTAGGCTGCTAGCTCCTACTTCTGTAGTCTCTATATATTAGCAAACTAAAAAATATGATCCCAAAGTATATATGGATATGCTTTTGATATCTAAGTTTTTGTTTTGTTTTTGTGTTTTGATTTTGGAGACAGTCTTGCTCTGGAGCATAAGATTTGTACACACAATCTTCCTGTCTCAGCCTCTTGAATGCTAGAATTATAAGCATGCACCCCCATACCCAAATCTTAAGATCTAAACTTCTGAAAGAATGGACATACATCATGAATACTATAACACAAATAGTGTAAAACCAACCATAGTCAGGTCTGGGGGTTGGGCAGAGGGGGACTTGCACCTGTAATCCTAACTACTTGAGAGGCTAAAAAAGAAAAGATTATAATTTGAAGCCAGGCAATCCATAGCTTGGTTCAATGGCATGCACCTTATCCTAAGTGATGTGATAGGCTAATAGCAGAAGGGCTGGTTCCAGGATGAGCCAAGAAAGCAAAGTCCAAGAATCTCAAAGAAAGAAACTGGGTATGGGGATACAATCATCTCATTGCAGCTAATGGAAATATAAAAGAGGTGGATCTTAGTCCATGCATACACCAGAAAGGGAGACCATTTCTCAAAAAGAACCAAAGAAAAATGGTCCAAAGGTGTATCTCAGTGGTAGAGTGCCTGCCTAGCAAGTACAAGGCCTTGACTTCAAATATGAGTATCACAAATAATTATATCAGAAATCCAAGTTGCAAAAGAGAAAGAGAAAACTAAATGAAAATCTGCCTAAAGTTACTTATAAGAAGAAATATGATACTGAATGTAAGGCCCTGGAAGATGATTTTGCAAACTATAAAAGGATACTCACTTGTTTCACATTTTCAGCTAAGAAGACAATATAAACACTGCAGAATCCCAGCTGCGTTATCACCAGAAAAAAGTCAACGACACTCCTAAATAGAGATATCCACAAGTAAGTATCAATAAAGGTAACAATGTGTCAAAATACTTTTTCTCGTTTTAACTGTAATTTAACTATTAATATGCTATTTTATAACAGTATATATTGTTTTCTTCCTTGAAAAAAGAACAGTTAAAATATTTATTTCCTATTAATATCATATTATGTTTAGTATGTCACTAGAATTATAAATGAAAAACACACTTGATTAAAAGGCCAGTAGTTAGATAGGGCAGTTGTCAAATTAGAAATCTGCCCATGTTATTCATTTCTCGTTCTGATCTATGAACAAGAAATGACTACCACTGTGTAATGTACTGTAGTCTCTTGTCTGACCATCAGTGACAACAATGATGTCTAACATTTTACAGACACTCCTCCCGTGTGACAGCAAAAGGTCCTACCATAACTCTTCCATCCTCCATAGTTCTTCAGGGGTATTATTGGTAAATAATCTTGGTACCCTGAATTGAATTCCAGTTTCTCATCTGTGATTCTTACATTTAAGTATTCCCTTAATATCTTTTTTATCCACATTTCAGGTGAGGGTCTCATTAATAATAATTACAGTTGACTTTTTCTGAAAGCCTTTTTTCTTCACAGCAGGAAAGCTGTCTATAGTCTGGGTCAAAAGAAAGATGGGGTTGGGATTGACTTTGGGTTCTGGAGGCAAGTCCCTAGGGCATTAGGTTCTGCTTCCTTCCTTCTATTCAAATATATCAGGAATGATGAAAACCTCATGGACTTATGAACAAATATAACTTTCTGAAAATAAAAAAACATAGATTTAAGCATAAACTACACTAACGTCGTGTTTTTTCTTCTTTAAATTTTATCTTACATCATTGTTTGTTTATACTTCTTTATTTTTCCATCCCTATGTTCATCTAGTTTACATTCACCTTGTTCAATGATGAGGAAGACAATAAAGTTTATGTTAAATAACATCCAGACTTCAGTTGTCTTATGAAAATACAACATTTTTTTCTTTTTTAAAAAATGAGTGAACATAATTCTGTTATTTAATAAATATTTTAAAAATTATATTATAGGTATATACTTGTATATACTTTTTAAAGTATTATTTTCTTTAATCTACTTTAATCATTCAATGAAGTACAAGTGCATTTCATTATGAGATATGCAAACCAAAATAAGGAACATTTTGACAGGTCATAAAACAGACAATTAGCAGAATTGAGATTTGAACCTAAGTCAATCTAATTTTAAGGGTATTCAATTTGTTTTGTTTGTTTATTTTTGCAAGTATAGGCTTTGAACTCAGGGCTTCCCATTTGCTTGGCTTGCATGCTCAGCTTAGGCTCTACTACTTGAGCTTTATCTCTAGTCAGGCTTTTTGCTGGTTAAATTTGGAGATGGTATTTCATGGGCTTTTCTGCCAGGATTGGCTTGGAACTGTGATCCTCTGCATCTCAGCCTCCTGAGCAGCTAAGTATATGAGAGAGACACCAGTTCCAGGTTATTAATTACATTCTCTCAATTTATCATCCTTTTATTTGTCTTATCAGATTAAAATACTTAAAAATTAACAAAGTCTCAACAAATCGATATTAAAAGCAGAGCAAGTACTTGCCGTCCCCAAGCAGCTTGTTTCTGGAGGTAACTCCAAGGACTTGCTTCCATGGCGAGACTCACCGTGTCACTGTAGCCTAAAGTAGACTTCTTAAACCTGCAATAAATGACAACACATATAAGAAAGAAAAAAACAGTAAGTCAGTCTGTAAAACCATTTATTGGAAAAAGTATCAGATATACAGGAATTAATGAACACAGGTCTATACACTGACACATGAAGACTTCAAAATGTGAAAATCTATAGACTCTAATAAAATTTAAATTTTTATCTTGCCTACGGATACATTTTATCTATGTGTAAAATACGAGCAGTTAATATCTGTGCTTCCATGATTTAAATATCTCAAATACATAAAAACATCAACTATATTGTTCTTGTCAAAATTACTACATTTTTCTTTTTTATTCTTATTATAAGGTGATGTACAGAGTGATTACAGTTACCTAAGTCAGATGATGAGTACATGTCTTTTTGGACAATGTCACTCCTTCCCTGCTCTTTCCCAGTTTTTCCTTCCCATCCCCACGCATACATTTTTCTAGTAACAGTATATAATACTATATATTTACAGGGCTCTAGAATGTATTTCCATATAAACTATCTCATTTCATTTTCAAACTACCTTCCTGAGGTAGATACGTTATCTCCAGTCTTAGTCTCTCCCACTCTTCTTTTTGCAAGTATGTACACACACACACACACACACACACACACACACACACACACACACACACACACACACACACACACACACACAAATGATGTATCCAGTTTTAGCAATGAAACAAGAGTGTATCGTAGAATTCTGGTTTACTAGGAGGTATTTGTCTTAAAAAGTTGGCTTATTATCCAAAGGAAACATTTTATGACTACCTGCATATCTACATATCAGTAAACAGAATCAAAGATGCTATACCCAAAACTAAACTGCTAATACATTGAAGACACTGGGCTATAACTAAAAGTGTACCATTGACTCCATTTACTCTACTAATCTTTTCTTCTGATTTTTTTCCACTTAAGACTAAATAAAAGAACCCAGGTCCATTTACTAATTAGGTGCATTTCTAAGTACAGTTTATCCTCCATGGCTACAGATCCCTCATTTGTAGATTCAATTGACCACATATGGAAACATACATGAAAAGATGTCCTGTCTGTATTGAATATATTCCAACTGATTTTTTATGTCATTATGCCTTAAACAATACAGCACAACAAGCATGCATGTAGTACCTATACTACATTAGGTATTCTGAGTAATCAGGGATAATTAGAAAGAAGGCTCCTCAGTGGTTGCACACAAACACTATACTTCTTTATGTGAAGGACTTCAGCACTTGATGATTGTTGTATCTGTGTAGGTCCTGGAAGCAATAGCTCAAGACTTCCAAAGGAGGACTAATCATATTGACTGTATTCGAGTCCTACTGAGTCCCTATTCCATATTCACTATCAAAGAAAATACAACTTATAGTTGCAGAAAGTAGAAGCAGAAAGATACAATGCCCTAAACAAATGCACAGTTATAAAATAAATAGACTTAACAAATCCACATTTACCTCTGACATAGAAAGTGACTGCAACGTACCAATATGTGCATACAGTGAACAGAAATAATTCCTATAAACACAAGGCTGATTGGTCCAAGCTGTGAAGAAGAAAATTATAAGGTTTAAATAACAAGTTCAAAAGAACTGAATAACTTTACAAGCATGAGTCAATGGTCTACTCACTCACTGAACAAAAATGACAGTCATTTGCATAAAGAAAAATTAATCAACCTTATACAGAAAGGATACCAAACAAAGTTTAAGACCACCATGTATGATTTGATCTATGAATGAATTTAGACTCTAGATATGTAACATAGCAGGATGGAATATAACGTCACATTTAATAGCAGATGGCCAGCCTACAACTAACAGTGTGGCACTGCTATAATTATTATGCAACGATGACTCATATTCTAAATGATTTAAAAAGCACAATATTGAACTGCGGCTGGAATGACGTGGTTCTTTGACAGACTTTTTCAACAAACTTCAACAGACTGCCAGGAACTCTACTCAGAAAACAACTATTTCAAAAACTTGTCTAGCAAGTACAAGGCTCGGGGCTTAACCTCCAACATCCCAAAACAGAATGAAAGCTAGATTCCTATGAGGTACAACCAAACTATTGCCAAATCTTACTTTTACAGTCAGAAAAGTTTCAATTACCTTAAAATTAGGGTGGACAAACTCAGCTAACAACTATTTTTTAGAAACTAGAACATTTAGAAGGGATTAAATATAATTTCATATATGAATTTTTTATATTAAAAGTTTTCTACAAAAAAGTTTCTTAACTTTTTTGGTGGGTTGCAAGAACTAAAGTTTGAACTCAGGGCCTCACACTATTGCTTATCTTTTTCTGCTCAAGCTTGGCACTCACTTCATCACTGGAGGCATACCTCCACTTCTAGCTTTGTACTGCTTAATAAAGAGTCTCTTGGATTTTCTGCCCAGTCAGGTTTCAAACTGCCTGGGGTCAAACCGGGGATCCTCAGATCTCAGCTTCCTGAGGAACTAAGATTATAGGTGTGAGCCACTGGTGCCCAACTTTTTTTTAAAACTACATTAAAATTTAGAAATTAGATTTTTATTTCCTATGAATAAATGAGTGCTTTCAACGTAACAAAAACACTAATATGATATTTTTGTTTTTGGTTTTTGTGGGGGGGGGCGGGTTGCACATGGGGCTTGAACTCTGGGCCTGAACACTGACCCTCAGCTCTTCAGCTCAAGGCAAGCGCTCTACCACTTGAGCCACTGCACCACTTCTGGCTTTCTGAGTGGTTTATTGAAGATGGGACTTTCCTGCCCAGGCTGGCTTTGAACTGCAATCCTCACATCTCAGCCTCCTTAGTTGCTAGGATTACAGGCATGGCCACTGGCACCCAGATACTGTATTTTTTTTCACAATCTACTCTACTACCTCTTTCCTATGTCTGAAATCTTCATGGTTTATTCAAAGTCTAAAAAACTAAAGAATTATACACAAATAATCTTCAAAGTACATTTGCTGCTTTAAGTACACAACTCAAATCCCTGAAAGTCAAAAGGGATAATAAACCATAACTAACCCTGGAAACATTCCATGTTATTTTAAGTTTTGTTTTTATTTAGTAGAAATGAAAATCATAATTCTTGTTTTCAGGTATAACTATCATAGTCATTTATTTTTCTCAGTACAATTGCCAAGCCCTCAAGTAAATGTCACTTGATCAAGTTATCTTTTAATGAGACTCTACACTCACTGTGGTAATCGTGGCTGACAGTTAACTCTATGTTGTGTAGAGATTACAAAGATAAATCTTACCACTACACCTGCATTTTTTATTGCCAGTGGGAGTCCTAAAAGGCCGGTGCCAATATTTCCTTTAAGAAGATGCATAAGAGTTTGGATAAATCTGAAAAATAAAAAATTGTAATATTTAAACATTTTATAAGAAAAACCAGTAAAATGCCATGATATAATTTTTCCTATTAGAAAAGAAGCTAAAATGAAGCTATGTAACATTTCTGCTCCATCAGTAAGCCAGAAGTCACACTTGGTTCAAGTCCTAGCTTTGATATTTATAAGAGAAATACAGAAAAACACTGGGAAAATTGAGATATTTAGTGAGAGTTGTTTCATATGTAATAAAACAATAAATAAAGAAATGATGATTTTCTTCCATGATACTTTGCTGCTATGATTTTCAGAACAATGTTGAAGATTATGCTGGCAAAACAACAATGCACTGGCACTGTTTATATTACCAGGGTACTAAACAGTAGTCCTGTAATTATCAAACTAAAAGGAAGGTTATTAAAAGGAACAATATGCAAGTTTTACATATGTATGTATTTCTTCTCCTTTCTCTTTCTACATATATATATATATATATATATATATATGTCTCTCAAGGGTGTGTATATATAAAATCAGGTAAGATAGCAATTAATTTTTGAACCTCATGAATTCTCTCAGGGATTTGGCTTTGAAGGCAACTGAAGACAATCTCCTGATCAAGTAGAAATAAACCACAACTAAGAAGAATCTGGGTACTGGTGACTCACACCTGTAATCATAGCTACATAAGAGGCTGAGATCTGAGAAGTGAGGTTCAGAGCCAGCCTAGGCAGACAAGTCCAAGAGATACTTATCTCCAATTAAAAGCCCAAAGAGGGAAAAATTAAGGAGGTAACAATGCGCAGTATGAAATATACTCATTACCTTATTCATGTAACTGTACGCTCTATACAGTATCTTTACAATAAAAAATATATACCAAAAAAAGAGCAAAGAGTCAGAAGTGGGGTGTGGCTCAAGTGGTAGAGTGCCAGGTAAAAATAAATAAATAAAACTAAGAACACACAATTCAAACCCATCAAACAAAAACTTCTGCCTAGAAGAGTTTTGAAGTTCATATTCTTCTGATCAGATTCTATCATCCTTTGCCTAACCACTAAATTACTTTTAGATTAAATTTAGTGATGATAAAATATCCAACAGAGATTTTCAAGTATTTTCTGCATTTATTCTTCTTCACAAGATTCAGGTATTTTCCTTCTTACTCTGCAAAAAGCATTTAACGCTGCCTTGTGTAATTCCTAAGCATATCAAAAGCCACTTCTCTGTCAGAGCTGCCTTCTTCCAGGAGGCAGGGCATCTGCTGTTACTTCACTAGAGTGACTACTAGAGTTACTCCGTAATTTCAATGTATCACTTCTCAAGCATGCTGTAAATTTGAAAGGCAAAGACTAACACCTCTTAATCATCACAAACAAACTGAAGAAAAAGAAAAGAGTCAGATAAGGCACAGGACTTACGAAATACCACCATGGTTATGGAGCTGGTAGTGCTTCTGGACAGGCAGCAGCTCCTGTTCATGCTCTTCATCTGAGGTGCCATCAAAGCTCTGATCATTTATTAAGGGCCTCATCACATCCATATCTTTAAGAGAGAAAAAAAGCTCACTTCACTATTGTTTTAAAAATTGTCATAAAGGGCAGTTGCTGGTGGTTCATGCCTGTAATCCTAGCTACTCAGGAGGATGAGATCTGAAGATAGCAGTTCAAAGCCAGTTTGTGCAGGAAAGTCCGTGAAACTCTTATCTCCAATAAACCACCAAAAAAACAGAAGTGGCGCTATGGCTCAAATGGTAGAGCACTTGCCTTGAGCTGAAGAGCTGAGGGACAGCACCCAGGGCCAAAGTTCAAGACCCACGACCAACCAAAACAGAAAAAAATTGTCATAAAGTGGGTATAAAAATTATTTTTTGTGGACTTTAATTCAGGGCCTAGGCACTGTCCCTGAGCTTTTTTGCTCAAGGCCAGTGCTCTACCACTTGAGACATAGCTCCACTTCTGGCTTTTATGCTTCCATCAGAAAGAATGGCATTGTCCTATTCATAAGGAAATGGAAAGCCCTGAAAAAAATTTATATTAAGCAAAATAAGTCAGACCCAGAGAAAAGTAGGTTGCATGGTTTCCTTCATTTGTAAGAACTAGGATATGTCTATGATATTCTTAGCAGGTGATTTCAATAGTGCATAAGACTAAATATAATGAAGCATAACAACATGAACTCCAAGAACTGAAAAAAAGAGGTTCTTACTATATGCTGCATACAGTTTGTTTTTTCCTGTTTTAGTTTTCTGTACCCTTTGTCTTGTATATAAGTTAATCTGATTAATGGAAGGGAAAGGGAATAACAGAAACAGTAGGACAAAGGATGAACTAATGTGACACTACCTTGGAAATGAACTACACAATTTGGGGAGGGATGGGAGGGAAACAGGGAGGGACAAGCTGGAGAAAATGATGGAGGGGATAACAGAGTTTAAAAAGAAATGTACTCATTACCTTACTTATGTTAACTGTAATCCCCCTGCTCATAACCTTTACAATAAAGATATAAAAATAAGTAAATAAAATGCATAGGAAAATAACACTACTTTATACAACAGTCAACACCAATTTATTGAGTACCACTATGTTCTCAATCAATAAATTTACAAGGAAAGAAAGCCTTAAGTACTTTTCTGCCCATACTGGCTTCAAACCATGCTTAGACCTCAGGCTCCTCAGTAGCTACAACTGCAGGCATGAGCCACCAGTGCATGGCTTGAATTATTTTTTTAGCATTTAAGAAATACATATTATTTTTATACTTACTATATATTATATTTATACCTACTATTTCCATCCTGAATTAGTTCATTTTAACTCCCTAAGTTCTGGCATATTTCATATAGGAAGAATTATTCTTATTTCCTGGGTATTCTGTTTGAGCTATGTACTGCAGAGTGAAAAGTACTTCAAAAGCACTGAATTCAGAGTTCTTCCTGATTGGTGCTTGTGGAGTCTATGTTTAGGAGATGTGTACTATGGTGTGGTGAGGTAGCTGGACCTGGGAACCTGCTCTCCAGAGGCTCACCACAAAGAGCATGAGTTAGAGAGAAGAGTGAGTAGTCACAAAATACAGGATGAGAAAGAAGAAACATTCAGACATATTTTCATCTGTGTTAGCTTCAAATCACATTGCATACATACATTAGTAATAATATTTTGAAATACATGTCACTTCAATACTTAAATTTCAGTATAAAATTTGCCCTTTTAATTTTTGGGGGTAGTGGTAGTATGAGAGTTTAAACTCAGGGCTTTACACTTGCTAGGCAGATGGTCTGCCTTGCTCATGGCAGTACTTCTCACCCCAGCTGGAATGACAGGCATGTGTCACCACATCCAATTTATTTTTGCTGAGATGGGGCCTTGAGAACTTTTTTGTCTAGACTGGTCTGGATCTGTGATCCTCCTGATCTCAACCTCCTAGGCAACCAATGACAAGTGTGCACAACTGTACCCAGTTGGCTGAGATGGAGTCACATAAATGCTTTGCCCAGGAGGCTGGCTTCAAACAGTAAAATTCTTCCAATCTCCACCTCTCACAAAAGGTAATACTCCTATATAGTAGGAAATAAAATAAATGATTTAGCTAGAAATGACTGATCAAAGTTTTTTAGTTTAGTTTTGTTTTGTGGGGTTGTGGGGCTTGAACTCTGGGCCTGGGCACTGTTCCTGAGCTCTTCAGCTCACAGCACCACTTCCTAAGCAAAGTTTTTAATCTCTTTATTTAAATGGAGTACTTTCAAACTTCTTTTAAATTTTCAATAGTACAAAAATCTTGCATATTCTTTATATACTAACTAAATTGCTAACATTTTGCCCTATTTTCTTCTCTCAAATACTACTTTTTGAGCCACTAAAGAGCATGCTATAACCCCACACTTCACTTTATTAGGAGCATGTATCTCCTAAAAAACTTTATTACCTTGCCCATATAATTGTAACCCCTCTGTATGGTATTTTCATAATTTAAAAAACTTGACAATTCATATTACACTGTCAGATTCAACTTAATATTAATGCAATACTTGATTAAATGCATATTCCATAGTACATTTCTATTTCTGTACTAATAGTCTTTCCAGCAGTGTTTCTGTTTTCATTTTTCTCAGGTCCAGGGCCATTGCATGTATTTGTTCTGATTACCTTTGCTCATTAGTTCTGAGGTTTTTTTGCTTGCTTGTTTTGTTTTCAGACAGGGTCTTACCAGTTTGCCTAGGATAGTCTAGAACTTGCTATGTAGCCCAGAGTGGCTTTGAACTCCAGACTTCCAAGTCATATTATCTCTCATATGTGTGAGCTAGACCTAATTTTTATATACATATATATATATATATACATATATATATATATATATATATATGTAAACATTTACATGTCCACAGTTAACTATAGTATGGTAAATGCAGGGGAAAATTCCAGAGGTGTAACTCAAACAAACAGTCTAATAAAATGAATGAATAGGAAGTGGCGCTGTAGCTCAAGTGGTAGAGCGCTCGCCTTGAGCTGAAGAGCTGAGGGACAGTGCCCAAGCCCAGAGTTCAAGCCCCACGACCGGCCAAAAAAAAAAAAAAATGAATGAATACCAGGAGGATGGTACTGGAAGTGTTGGGGGGTGAGGTCATAGGAAGTGTGGAAGAACGCAGCCATAACATCAATGTATGTATGTGAAATGGAACTAGGAAAATTGAGGGGATCAACAGTGGGATTTGGAGAGATGGAGGAGAATTATGGAAGGGATGTCAAGATCAAGATACATTGTAACTCACAAACTGACCTGTTGAGTTGAAACCCCTTTGTACAACTACTTGAAGATAACAGAACAATAGTAATTTTTAAAAAGGTTCCCAAGTCCTAAGATTACAAGTGTGCATCACCATGCCTGGCTGCCATTTTATCTTTTAGTAGGTCTTTAATCCTCCCTTTTTAACTTAATTTTGTACCACTTTGTTTACACTTTTAAGTGTTATCATGTGGCTTCCACTTATTATTAAAAATAATGATTTTACTATTTTATCCCTTGTCTTTCCCTTATTCTCTCACATTCTAGTTGTATTCTTTATAGTTTAGAAATGTGCACACCATTCTCCTAATCTCTGTGTGTGCCTTTGACTTAAGTATCAATATTCATTGCCAGTCCTCTGAAGGTATCCCCGTCACCTTTGCATTCTCTCTTGGAATGTATGTCCACATGACTACAACACAAGCTGTCATGCCACACTGTGAAGAGTCTAACTCAGGGGCTATGGCAGGCCAAGGGCTTCCATTTCTATCTGGCTTTGGGTGATGCTGCTGCTGCTGCTCTAGAATTGTGCTGGGAGAACCATAGCTGTAGCACATCTAAATGGCTCATACATTCTGGAGTTTCTAAAAATGCTGCTCCTCTTTTGCCTTGCTTTTAGTTTTGGATTTTTTTTTTTTTAATTAGCATGTATTGTCAAAGGGATTCATTGGTATATTTCCATATAGTCATATTATGTACTTGGATCACATTCACTACCCCTCCTTAGCTTAGTAATTAAAATGCAGTCTCACTAAGTTTTTGCCTAGGCTGATGTAGAATCTTGATCCTCCCATTTTCTGACACCCAGGTAGTTAGAATTCCAGGTGTGAGTCTCCATGCCTGCCTCAAAATAGTCTCTTCTCCCTTCACTTCTTCTCTGATAATAAAACTAATTTGGAGAGAGTAAAAGTCACTAAAGAATCCAAAGTTCCAAATAACTGACATCAAAATTAAGGAAAGTTTTCTGTAATTCTCCAACTTCTGTCTTTAGTAGTTTTATAACTGTTCAATCTTCAGACATTCTCAATATATCATCTAATAGGATTTTGTTGTTTCTTGTTCTCTGGTACCAAAGAACACAACTTGGACCTGCACACAATGAAAGGACTTCTCCAAATAGCTTGAGTGTGATATGACCTCACAGTTACCCTGGAATTGAATATAAAAACATCATGATCCTCATTCTATTCCCTAGACTGCTATAACAAAGCAATACAAAATAGCAATCAGAAATGTAACCACTCATAGTTCCAGGGGCTTGAAGCCTGAAATACAAGTGTTGAGAGATGTCCTCATCCCAGGCCTCTCTTTGGCTTGCACAAGGCCACATGCATGCTTTCTGACATCCACACCTGTGGCTTTGTCCTAAATCCCTTCTATAGAGACAGTGGCTCTAACTCACTCCAGCTTTGCTAATAACATCCACAATAACCCTATTTCCAAGTTAGACCTCCTCCTAAAATTACGGGTGTAGTAAGACTTCCATACAATTTCTGAGCAAAATTCTCATAACAACAATTATTATTAACTTCCATCAGTTTCAGTTTTGTGTAGAAAGATATTGTTTTCATTTCTAAATGTACTTCATTTACTTTGATAATTCAGCCTCTCTAAACTTAGGTAAACTTTCTCATTTCTTTCTGCCCAGGGCAATATTCTGTTAATGTTCTACATGTTCTGTGCTGTACTAGCCTCACTGTCTGTTCCCAATAAAGACAGAATGACCTAGTATTTGAAGCACACTGCCTAAGAGATCACAG